GCATCAATAGGAATGGGGCTGAAACCCGTTACTAAGGCACTAGTGATGGACACCCAACCTATGTGAAAGGAGATTCGTGGAATTAGGTTGAATGGGTAAAAACGAGTCACTAAGTGACTTGGAAAAGTATTATCAATTTGTGTATCATTTTAGATGCCAAGGTAAGATAGTGCTCACTATAGTTTGAGGAGATTGAGCATGAGGCTCTTAATTAGTTAAGAATTGTGTGTGCAATGCACGCTAATAACTGACCTGAGTGTGAAGTGTGGCCACTTCTAAGAGAGATCTAGGGTTGACTCTAAAACACTTATGATTCCAAGAGGGGAATAAAGTTGAAGTGTTCCAAAACAAAAGAACCACTAAAGAACTGGTGAGTTGAGTTGGTTGGCCGGTTAGCTAGTTATGACAAAAAGGAAAGGTTAAAGGAGTCTGATTTCACCCATACTGTGTAACATAGCCTGTCATACTTAAATGTTGATTGAAGTCCAAAAGACATCACCATGAATATTTTTTTCCCTGCGATGCTCAGATTGTTTGATCTTCTTGTAATTTTGAATCTTGTGAGGGATTGTTGGAGGGTGATTCAAAATTTCAAGAATCTCTCTCATCCGTCTCTTGTCTATTGTCTTTTCTCTTCCCACCCTTGAGTGCATGGGAAGACTCCTTATCCCACATTGCTTGGGAAATGAGGGGAAGTTGAGTATATTTGTAGTTTGCTCTCTCTATGGGTAGGGACCCATAGGAGGAGAGCACTATAGATATTCAATGGATGGGGGGTTGGGGGTGCTTTTCACACACGGTTGCGGGTGCGGGCGCGTGATGCACTAAATCATTTTGTTTTAATTGAATTACATCTTTTCAATTTAAAATGTGTCTCTTCAATTTCGAATTTATTTTATATTCAATGGATGGGGGGTTGGAGGTGCTTTTCACACACAGTTGGGGGTGCGGGCGCGTGATGCACTAAATCATTTTGTTTTAATTGAATTACATCTTTTCAATTTAAAATGTGTCTCTTCAATTTCAAATTTAATTTTAAAATAAATCGTTTTCTTTTTTCGTGTCTCCTTCCTCCTTGTGCCTCTTCGAATAGGTGCACTGTTTTGATGAGGCTCCTGTCTGAAAGGATACATCTGTGCCCATTCAGGTCTGAGACCAATCTATAAAAAGGATGTTGGTCGACCCAGTTTTCACACACATTTCGAGAGTCTTTTTCTTTGTCTTCTCTATAATATGAGCATCATATTTCCTGTGGTTCACGGAGGTATGGTAAGCGAGTGCATGCCTATTAGTGGCCTGTGGGCTGTTTTATCTTGGTGATCGATTTACGATCACCCGGCTGCACCGTAGGGAGAAAATGCGGTTTTAAGGAGAGTGATCAAGTGGCACGACTCAACCCTCATTCTCCCTGCAATTCTCTGTTTCGAGTTTCTGCAACAACATCACAATACTGCAACTTTGGTTTGGAAAGCGATTACCGATATTCCATTCTGCCCTCTTTACTATTTTTACAACAATTATTCAGTTTAAATTACTAATATATTAAGAATCATAGCAAGAAGAATATTAATAATAAATAATAATAATAATGATTGGTACAGAGATCATGTCAGTTTCGTTAGAGGCTCCGGCGATGGCGGGGGTGGATTACGCTGAATGCGGTGTCGATCTCAAAGAATGGGAACACGGAGAATTGGAACTACCTCCACCACATCTGTTGGCTGAAGAAGAGAAGAAGATGAATGAATTATATGACCTTCGCATCAACTGTTCCTTACTGAATCCACATAGCAAGTCATCCATTAGCTTGACACGCGAAGAAACTTGCTACTCAGAGAATAACAATGGCGAAGGGTGTCATCATCATCCAAACCTAGGACGTTTGAGCAGAGCCGTGGAGAATCGAAAGAAGGTGACCGGTAGACACCTGAGATCCATGCAATATATTGGCAGCGCGCGAGGATGATAGAGGCAATAACAAGGCTCGTTATGACAATTCGATCGGACGCCATTAAAAAGGGGATGCGAGTTAATAAGTCGTCATCACCAGCGGCACCATTGATGAGATGACAAGCTGTTGAATGGATTTCTCCTGGAAGTGCTCTATCTTGGGTCTCCATTATTACTTACTTCTTAACAGTCTTTCTCCTGGAAGTCTCTGACTGTGCTCCTGTGAATTAATGGCTTTTACTGATTTCAACTTTGGACCTATTTCTCTAACTTGCTCTTAATTATTTGAAGCTGCATATTCTCTTTGATTCTAATTACTGAACCTCCTTAGTCATACTCGTATATAGGAAAGATGCATCTCGCACCAGATGCCAGCTTTTGTTATTTTATTTTCATGGCATGTAAAGGACGTAAACTCCAGCAGCTTCCTTAGTTTTGTACTTGTGCAATAATAGTAGTATATGTGGTATAGTGCTTAATTAAAAGTTAAGCTGCTTTACAGGTTCGCCATGACTACATAATTACGTATAAATTAGTGCCACCTGAATGATCTTGGATCTCTTTAATCGGGTGGTATGGTTTCAGAACCATACCAATTTTTTTGAAACCACACAATGGAAAAGAGCCTGTTCTCTTCATGGCTGTGATGTGGGAATGAATTGTGGGTAGCAAGCAGATCCGGAGTAGCATTGGCAATACATCATTTGGGATAATCACCATGTATATAGGGTATTATAACTTGAAGATCAGAGTATTGATCTTATGGGAGAAGAAAGACAGAAAGACGCGATATTATATAGACGATGGTTGAGGGAACAATGGGCCTAGAACACGACATCCTTGATTCCTTTCCTTTCTGGGCATAAGTAAAGGATGTGGATATCCCACAACGAAGCGCCGTTGTTGCTGGAACTGGAACAGACCTGTGCATAAGTAACAACGTAACAGAGACATCCAAAACAAAAAAACCCATAGATGTGAGTATGATGGCGGTTGTTGGAACAGAACCTCGTATGGTGATTGGTGCTCACCTGCTGGAGAGCAAGGGCGTTGGTAGGAGATTGATCAACAAGTAATTAAGCTTGTAGTGAGCAAACACTCTCAGAAGGAGGTAGGTAGGTAGGTAGGCTGGTAGGGACTAGGGAGCGAGCAGTGAGGCTTGGAAACACAAAGCTCTAGATTTCTAGGGTGGACTGAACTATTAAAATTTAAAACCCCTTTCTGTTTTTTTTTTTTTTTTTTATTGTCCTAGTGTCCTAAGTCCTAACTAAGGCTGAATTTCTCACGGGTTTTACAACATGAATGCAATTTGCTTGTACAGTGCTCTATTAAAGCTCGTGCCATGTGGTAATTGGCTAAAGCAAGGTACGTCATCTCTCTCTTTCCACCCCCACCTTCAGGCTTCAACCACCCAAATAATAGTTAAGGACGGCGCACAGCAGACACTGCTTGGGTGGGCCACAGATCAATCTCAGAGAGAGAGAGAGTGAAACTGTTAAAGACAGTGGGAGTAAAACTGTAAAAGCCAGTGGAATCACGGATATAACGATATGAACTTTGCAATTTGCAAGTCATACGCCCGTGTCTCTCTTGACGCCATGAAAAAAGAGAGATTTGAGGACTTGTATAAATACCTGGTGCAGTCATCTCGTTTAGTTCAAACTTCAAACATTTATTTTGTTATCTTTGCTTTGAATGTTTCAATGAAGCAACGCCCCGGGCGTCTTGGGATCATGTCTATTGAAGCTCTGGCAATGGCGGGTGTCGACTATACAGAGTGCAGGATCGACCTTGAAGAGTGGGAACGCAACGACTTGGAGTCATCAGCGCCACTGTATCTTCTCCAAGAACAAGGATCAAACAAGGATAAAGACACAAAAGATGTAGATCATAAGGGGAGCACTGCCGCCCAGCACCAAATCAAGGCAAGGATGCAAGCTTGGGCGAAAGCTGTTGCTTCCAATAGCGCTACTGTTTTTCTTTGGCTTTGAGACAAAGAAAACATGTCCAAGTTCTGGTGCCTTAAAAAGCATTAATGGATTAGGAAAATAATCAACAAACAGCCTTCAATTCGCTTGATTCCATATTAATTTCGAATAGCGTCTGAGCAATATATCATCTCTTTGACATTTTTTTTTTCACTTTTTATAGACTCCTAATTAGTAACAAAATTCAGCTTGCATCAGCCATATCAGGACTGAGGTAGCTAATCCTGTTGAGTTTCGGCAATAATAGAAAGTTAGAAACCACTTTTGATTTCTCTTCTCTAGGTTGAAACTTGAGAGTTGAGGGGTATTGATTCCTTTCAAGGGAGTCGTCGCTTTTTCTTCACATAACTTGCTTAGAAATCAAGGGGCTGATTTGGGCACACCCCTATTCTCAAATTAATGATAAGAGAACGAAACTGCATTACCAAGACAAACAAAATAACAAATTTGCAATTTTGCATGCCTTTTCTTCTTCTCCGCTCTATTGCGTGGAGGAACATTGAATCAGGTATTTCTGAAGATTAAAGCCACAGATTCAGTTGCAAGTTCCAAACGGAAGACAAAATATCCAAAGCTCACAGAGACAGACTTCATGAACAAAGTTCTGTAGCGTCTTGAAACTTGAGAATGTTGTTAAAATGATACACAAACTGCCAGATGAATTGTTCACGATAGGTTGCTAGATGAATTGAGACCATCTTACCAGTAAGGATTTCATTTTGTTTTAGCAACCTTCTATCAACGCCAATTGACGGTTTTAAATAGCAGGACAAGTCATCAACGATGATGGTAGAACAATAACAAAAATCATACTGCTCATGGAGTAGCAATTCTCAAAGTAAAAAAAAAAAAAAAGAAAACTACGTTTGGAAACAAGTTCGCATCAGCTGCCATCACTGTGTAATCAATCCTGAGACGATCCGATAAAACACGCACACTCATGCAACACAACCAAAAGTCATCACCTGATGTTTTGATTTTGACATGGAGATCTGCCCGTGTTTTCTTGGATGTTGCAGGCAGGATGACGCTGAGAAGGTGGTTGCAGTTGATGCAAGCTCGTTTAAAATATACATCCCACATTAACATTTCGGAGAACTTTCATGATACAGGATGCATGCTGGCTGTCCCTTCGGTATATATCATTATCTGAGACGCTGGAGAAAAGGGAAAAGATGAAACAAGAAACTATGTGCCCAGAAATGAATCTAATTGCAACTTCTGAAATATATCATTGCAATGCAAGTTAGCTCTCAATTAACCTTAAGGCCAACCTACCAAATGATAAATTGAACCAAACAACAAAAACAACAGTTCCGTCCAATCCCTATTATCTTCCACCCGACAGTTCAATTGCATCTTGGTTATACATTGAATCATCTCCCCAATCGAATCTTCTTTGTAGTCTCTCATACTCTTGTCTACGAGTAACCTCAACCTGCTGCCACTCTTCCCACCTCTCAGCAAGCCCTTCTCCTTCTAGCATCCGTACCACCTCTGACATTGTTGGACGGTCCTCGGGTGATGATTGGGTGCAAAGCAATGCAACTTGGATCATCATCTCCACCTCTTGGCTGTTATAGTTTCTATTTAGGTTGCGATCTACAATAGCATCTAATCGTTTCTCCCGTTCTAGCTTCTTCACCTACACCAACAGTAACACAACATGACTAAGCAACGATAAAGGACTCAGTTGATCCAACGGCTAAATTGGTAACTACGAAAAGAATTTATCATTGATGGCGCTCATAATCACATAGAATGACAGAAAGCGGACAAGAAACCAATTTGGGTATGTGCACCCATTTGCTTCAGTGTTTATACTCGTACTATTTTATATAGGCCCTTTTTTGTTAAGAGAAAAGGTATTTGCCAAGATAAAGTAGTCAAATAGTAACTAAACAAGGTTGCGCAATCTTACATGGTCAAGCAATAATACATCATCTTCTTCTTCGAGTCGTGAAAAATCAATTGCACGCTGTCCGGTCACAAGTTCTAAAAGCATAATTCCATACCCAAAAACATCAGTCCTCTCTGATGACCTTCCGGTGGATAGGTATTCAGGTGCTATGTGGCCCATAGTTCCACGGACTTGTGTTGTCACATTTGTCTTTCTTACATCAACCAACTTTGCCAGGCCAAAATCACCAACAACTGCTTCAAAATCTTTATCTAATAATACATTAGCAGCCTTAACATCACGATGAATTATCTTTGGATTGCAATGTTCATGAAGGTACTCAAGTCCACGAGCTGTGCCTAAAGCCACTTGCTTTCTAGTAGGCCAATCTAACACAGACTCCCCAGGTTTAATCTCTGTTTCAGAAAAACATCCGTCAGAAAGATGAGTAAACGGACACAAGTAGAACATGACAATTCAAAAGCAACAGAGGGGAAAAATAGTCCAACGTCTTGTAGAAGCTTTCTGCCCAAGGCCATGCAAGACAAACTTTAGAAAATTCTATGCAATCCAGGAGGTCAAACGTCCCCAGATATTTTGGGGAAATGAAAGTAAAACATCAATTAGCAATAATGAAGCACTAGATTCCTTCAACTTAAAAAGTTATCCTCGCAGGCAAGATTTAGTTATATCTATTTTGAACACAAAATTATTCTGAAAATAAGACCTGTGGGTAAGTGCCCTACGTAAGACACAACTGAGTCACTAATTTCTACTCATTGAGAGTACCAGTTCAATATTTACACTGGAAGTGTTTGGACTTGATGCAACCTGCAGAGGCCCAGGTTTTGCCAATTCATTTATGTTGACTTGTACCATTTCTTGAGTTATCTTTGGGGCTATTTCTACTTACATCATGATGATCACTTGTGCTAAATGATCTCTGAGGTTTCTTCTATGTCATCCTCGTTGTCTACGTTGATACTTACTGAACTCTTCCCATACCCAATACCCTATTCCCATGGAAGGATACTCTCTTAACAGCCCAAAAACGCCACCCCTAATTATTTGCACTTTAATCCTAAGGCAGAGAGACTGGTCTTAGGACTAACATTCCATGCGTGGCTTGATTGGTGAAAACTTTTCATGGCTTAACTATGGTGAAGTGTAACTAGATGTTGTCTATTACATATAAATAACAACCCAAGATAGTATGATAAAAGCTAAGTGATGAGTCCGGATCTGCTCACCACAACACATTGCTGGCCACATTCACCCAGCTGCACATATGGAACATCAGTTGTGTTGTGGTCACCGATATTCTCAACGTGCGGCTGGATTTGTGTGGCCAGCAATGTGTTGTGGTTGCAATTAGAAGTAGTCAATTTTTTATGTTTGTTTCTTAACATTGTAAGGAGATTATAACATTTTTATTTTTTATTCTTTTGAGAAAAGCAAAAGTATAGAATTCCATTAAACTAAAATAAGTATCCATGTACAACTAGAGGCTGTACAATAGGAATATACAAAAAATACCCACTGCCAAAAAGAAATACCCTGCCTGGCTGCCTGTTTTACAAAAAGATTTTCATATACAAAAAAAAAAAAATTAAATAATGAGCTAGTCTCCAAGGGTCACCCTCATCTCCTAACCACTTGATTGTATTTTCAAGAGTTTAATGGTTGGATTCAAAATACCCGTCTCTAGCAATGTAAATAACAGTTGAGTGCAGCCATAATTTCTGCATTGGTAGATTGGCAGTGCCAATTGGTACACTAAAAGCCCAACGAATGTTAGAGGTGTGACTTTTAACAGTCTAACTACATATTTTGGCTTTCCTTTTATTTTCTTGATTCCACTGATCAAGAAAAAATAGCTTTTACTCCTATTTGCAAAAGGTGTGTTCATCACAAGCTTACCCTACATCAATTCCCCCCACCCAAGCCTCTTCCTCTAGATTTAAGGATTAGTAAGTATAGGTTTTTCTTATTTATTTATTTGGGGAGGAAGGTAGTTTGCTGTTGTTAATCAAAAACAAGTAAATGAGCAAAACATTTTTTTGAATAGGTAAAGCAAAATTGTATTAATCAAAAGTAAAAAAGTATACAAGTGTAACGGTTCACAACTGGGCAAAACATGTAAACCAAGAGTTATCATGAGATAATTATGATGTAAAACAAAATTAGGAAATACAATGAAAAACTAATGCATTTTTCCCTTAGAAAAATATGATAAATTTGAACTTCTCACAAGCCCCAGCAACCTTAAAGATAAAAGCATTTTTTTCTTCTAGTTTAAAATGATATTTTTATCAGTAACAATAAACTTTGAAAGGAGAAATAAGACCAAATGGAGAGAAACAAGTCAGCTGTGAAGAACAAGACCCACAGCATGTCCTGCTACAATAGGTTCCAACAATATAAAGATAAATAAAATACACCAATCGATCCATAAACAAAGGGACTAATCGCAAATAACTGGGCTCTGGGCATGATATAACACCCTCCTTTCAACCCCCCCGCCCCCCCTAGCCAAGTTGTCATCCAAATTAGTCAGTCTCCAGATCCAACTGAACAAGGAGTTCATTCTGGAAGTCAGATGTATCACTGCCCTGATATGGTGTAGCAAAAGTCAGAGGTATCACTTCACTGATATGTTGTCTATGTATAACTTCCCTAAATTCTTCCATTTCCTTTGATACTAAAACTACCATTCTTTACTGAACCCCTAGGAACACATAGTTGCAGGCAAGGTTCAAAATATCGATACAGGGCAATATGCGGTAGGGCGTATTGGCCTGTATCGGTACTGTTTTTTTTTTTTCGAAACTGGTTCAGAGGGGCCGGTTTAAGGCCGGTCTACTCAGGAAGGCTCCGATACGTGACGAAATTTTGATCCTTGGTTGTAGGATAATCCACCACGGCCTACATAACACTGACTATCTGAACTAAACGCCATCCTGGGGAGGAGCACAATTTGTGAGGATAGGGAAGCATGGCACAGGTCAACCAACTTGTTTTTGAATTCCAGCCTTTGCTGGTCCCCAGATTGGGCTAGAGGATTACAATTCTAAACATGCTTGAGCATTGACCAAGAGAAACCACTCATATGCTTAAGGGAAGCCACCGACCCAGTCCAGCCTGATATCCTACTGATTGTTGGGAATCTAACTAGAGTACCACAAAACTCTAGTTAACAATGTAAATATCTAAAAAGGAAAACAAGCTTTTATCTTGTAATGGTCAATTTAGTGAAGTGTAGGGCTATAATTAGGTCGGATTCAGATCAGATCTAGATACGTCCAAATCTGATCCGATTATCAAAATGTTAGATTCGAATCAGATCCAAAATCTGATATGTTGGACTTCGGATATTGTGCTTAAAATGAAAAAAAGTTTAAGAAGTTTAAAAAAAAAATTACATTTTAACTTGTATAATAAATTTATATAATACAAAGTATTAATGTTATTAATTATAAACTTTATATAGTTGTATATAATACCTACATATATACATAATTATATTCCATATATTAATCAGACTTAGATTTTAATTGGATCAGATATCAGATCAGGTTTTGGACTTTCAGAGTCCATTGACAGCCAAGTGAAGTTGTAACATGATTCAATTATTTGGATTTATCATGAATTCTAAACCCAAGAGAACTATTTTATTGGAAAAAGGAAAATAGGATATTACTTTGCTAGCTGCACCAGATTTAGCCTGGAAACAACTTTTCTGTGCCTAGAACTAGAGCACAAGGTCCATTTGCCAAAAGCAAGACATTGAAATCAAATGATACCGCATAAAATATTATCTATCAAATAATAGTGCATGTTCACCAATAGAAAGAACTAATACCTCGTAGACGATAAGCAACACTTAAGTTCTGCATAAAAGGATAGACCAAAAGCCTTTCTGTTGGAGTTGTACAGAAGCCAATTAGCCTTAGAAGATTCCTGTGAACAGCTACACTTATCATCTCAACTTCACGTAGAAAAGCTGCTTCTCCTCCAGGACTTTCATAATCAGTCAATCGTTTGACAGCAATCTTTGTTCCATTCGCAAGCAATCCTTTATATACCTTTCCAAAACCTCCCTGTCCAAGAATATTTTTCTCGCTAAAGTTGTCGGTAGCAAGTTGTAGTTCTCTCCATGCAAACCTTTTCAACTGACCTAATGCAATTCTTCTATCGTCTTCACCTGATATTACCACATAATTAACTCATTAAACAATTTCCCTACATCTATAAATGCTATGACAGATCAGAAATTTCATGGATTACTTTAATTTATTTAACAGTTTTAGGMTTTTAGCAACACACTAAATGGGAAAGATTCTGAAGGTCTCTGTCAAAACTGCCTGTCAATATAATGTTTTCAACTCATAAATAAAGAGCTGATCCTTTTTTATGGCATTAGCACAGAAAAAGGTTTAATAATATCTTTTTAGGTATGAGATGAATGAAACTGAGAGGTACATCTGCAGTATCATTTAATCAAAGAATATCAATAAAATTGAAACAGAAATTTGTTAGATGGCTGTAAGGCCAGAATGTTGTACGTAGCAGAGTATCAGGCAATGAAGAAACAAAACATCCATAAAAAGAGCATAGTAGTGATGAATATGATAAGATCAATGAAATGAAAGGAAGTAGTCTAGGTTTAAGCATGCACATGGACTTGGATACAGGAGTCAGAATCTGACACATATCTGGGAATCCCACTTTGTTAACACAAAAAAGTAGGATTCATGTGTATGGCTCACATAAATAATATTTTATTATATATATTGCATGTTATGATTTTTAATACTGCTTTAAAAAATCATAGAACTATATAAGCAGAACTTAAATAATTAAATTACTTTTACAACTGACAAATTGAACTCACAGCCCTTGCCTATTTGCTACATTACCACAGTAGTTATTTTTCATTGCTTTCTTAATTTTGACATTAATTGGAAAAGATTCAATAAACAATGAAATATGGACCCTAAGTTATGTGTAGATGGGAAAAACACAAATACTAGAGTGCCCTATAAGACAATTTAAATGATTAAACTAATACTAGTAGAAGCATTTAAAGTGAGGATTCATGACTTGGAGAATCAGAATGGTGGGCATTTTGGTATCCACCAGTTTACACTATACTTGAGTCTGACATGTATTTTGGAGAATCAGACATGAGTTGACTATCAACATATGTTGACTTGAAAGTCCCCTCCAAACATGGGGCATCCATGCAATACCGATAGAAGACCACATATCCCTCAGTAAGGAGTGATTTGATGCAAGTTTATGGGTATAGAAGATCTAGAGAAAGGTTAAAAGGGCATGAGGTCAAGGCAGAGGAAAATGACTTCAGGGAAAAATTTAAAAGAGGATCTAAGAAGAATATTGAAACAGGAACCATGAGGCTGATCCATATAGTCAGGAGAACCTCCTCAAAGCCTATTATCCAGTGCTGGACCTAATCGATGACCAAACATATTTAGTGATCTGAGGACACAACTTAAGGTAGTAAGAAATGAATTGAGGTTACGACTCACAACTTGATAGAGTGGAAATAGCTAAAGGATTCATTTAGTCAACCCATATTTTCAAGATAACCTCCTCAAAAGAACATTTTCAGTGTTAACATAGTCAACTAAAACATGTTTAATACTCATTGTATAATCCAGGAAAAGAATACTGCATAGGAATCCATGTTTCTTCCATTTCAGTTCCAATTTTCAAAATTATAAATGTTATGAATAGAATGCTCTTTTTAAATTTTCAAATCCAAGTAAAGACCACTTCCAAGCATATGTATGGATATTTGCTCTCTCATTGTGAACCAAGCCTTGATCTTTAAAGAAATCAGGGACATGCATAGGATGGATATAAAGAACCAACGGGATGAAATTGTGAGGTATTGATCTTTTCTCTTTGATGCTTTTAGTACTCTTTTGGGGGGTTGAGATGTGCTGTAGTTTAAGTATTCTTGTGTACAGCTTTTGACTTTTGTGGGATTCACAATTTATTAGGAGGATCATTTCTGAATCTATTGTATAACATTTTGCTTTTACACTTCAATGACACTTACAGTTACCTATCAAACAAAGAGTTGCAAATGTCATGGCAAATTTCTTGACATGAAAATATGGCATGATCTTTAAATCTTCTCCTTTCTCCTAACTTGCAAATAAGCAATGACTGGAAATACAGAATATCTAATCAACACGTGTACATGACCTATGTAGATAAATATAATCCTGGTCAAATATTATATTTGATATATGTGTTAAAATATAAATGGCAACAAGGCATGAAAGGATAAAAAAAGCACTATAAATTTGCCAATATGATCAACATTAACTGGTCATTTTGGCTCATTAATTAAGAAGAAATAGCAACCTGCAACATCTACAAAAAGTTCACGCCTGTAGCCTCTATGTTTTCCCTTCAACAGAAGAAGTAKCAAGCCTCCACAAAGGAGGAACCCAACTACTGATCCAATAACTCCAAATATAATTCCAAATTTTGATTTCTTGGAAGTACCTGCAAAGAAAGAAAGAAAGAAAGATATAGGCAATATACCTACCAAAGGATGAAAACAATTGGATGCCCATAAGAATGCATTCCCCAAAAACGGTTAGATCCAAGTTCTATCACAATAGCATTTAGTTACCTGAATCACTATTATCAGACACACAAAGGTGTGGAGAGTTTATGCCACAGTTTAAGTTGTTACCCGTAAAGCTGTATTAAGAGACAATTAGAAAAAAAAAACTGTATTAAGATACCGATCAAGTTAATTTAAATATTCATGAATACCAATAACTAAATATGCATAAAGACCATCACAAAATGAGGTATATCAGAATATGTAGTCCATACTTGTACTGTTGAACTTCAAATAAAGCGTCAGGTATTTGACCACTGAGATCATTGGAAGCCAGCTGACTGTCAAAGTTGTTTAATTGAGTATTGTCAAATACTTGTTTAAGGGAGATGGTCAACTAAAAGACCATGCACTAAGATATCACTGATAGCATATAAAATTTACAGAAATCTAACTCATTTTCATGCATTCATCCGATAATTCGTATTTATCAAAAGTTTGTTACGAAATTTTGAGAACATACAGATTGATCAATTTTGGAAGAGTTGTAAGTGACTCAGGAATGCTTCCACTGAGATTATTTTGACTCAAAATCCTGCTCACATAAAGCGAATCACAATTTTAAGTGAGAAGAATACAAGAGATTCAAACAAATTAAATAGTTTAATGAAATTCAACTGATGCAAGAGTACTACTTACAAGAACTGAAGCTTTTTAAGATTTCCAAGAGAAGATGGTATTTCTCCAGTTAAATGGTTGTCTTCCAAATCCAAGTTTGTCAAACTAGACAAATTTCCGAGCTCCTTTGGTATCTCACCAGTTATGCCATTACCTCGTAATGTCCTGCACAACAAGTGCATATAATAGGTACCAATTAATGAAACCATAACTAATCATTAAAAAGTAGAGGGAATACAAGAACTGAAAAGTCTTCCCAAACACATGCCAATAAATATGAAAATTTATCCAACGTCTAAGATACAACTAAAAACACTATCAAACACAAACCTAAAGTGACCATATTGCCACTTTGCAGGTTCAAATCCAGTATCATGGAGACTTTGAGTTATCATTTTTCAATTTAATTTTTTTTTTGATATTTAACAGAAACTTTCATTAATATATATTAAGAGAAGAGGAGGGGTAAAATCTCTTAACCCTCCCTAAAGGTACATTTAAATTTACAATATTGCCCAGAATATATTGACTCTTCCCACCCCTTGTTTGGCCAGTGAATCTGCCAAGGAATTGGCACTCCTCTTAGTGCACTGAAACTTGATTTCCATGTTTTGAGTAATTGGCCAGTGAATCTTCATTTTTCAATTTTAATTATCAAGAGATGAAGAATAATCTCTTTTCCAAAAGATTAAAGAGAAGCAAAGTAAATATCCTACATGTTAGCATGACACAAGTACAGAGATTATTCTCTTTTCCATAATCCTCCGTTTTCCAAAAGTAATCTAAATCTTTGATGACTGTGGAATCTAAGACGCAGGATGGGAAGTCTTTTAAACTTCTGGTATTTCTAAAGGAGGAATCATAACGACCATTTCAATGTACAAAATTGGAATATTTCTGCCTTGACAATGATATGCTCCTGACATATTAAATTATCTACTATTGAGTCATCAATCTCACAAATAAAATTTGATGGCAACAACTATAGATATTCTAACTGTATTTGCACACTTTTGTCTTATAGCATCTTCTAATGTATACTTAAGTAAAATGGTCATTGTATTCAGTGTAAAGAGAAACCACACAAACCATATAGGGGTCTCGTATTTTTAACATTCATTTTTGTTTGTCTCAAAAGTTAAGGTTTTCTGTTATCCCTGGTCCTGTTGTTCTAAGTATCTTTTATGGAATTAAGATGCATTTAGGCTATGTTGGTTAAATTCTGCTGCAAAGAGTCACTGTTCAAAGAATGAGTTTTGAGCTAAAAATGATTCTTTTTTAAGCAATTTTTTTTAGCTTCAAAGTTGAAAGGATTCATTATTAGAATGAATTTTGGGCCCAGAAAACTTGAAAAGCGATTTTTAGTATCACCTATCAAAAAAGTGATTCTCACAAAATTCATCAGAATTGATGTTTTGAAAGCATCCCAAATACAGCCTTAGTATCTCTGGTACTTTTTTGCATCTTCTGTAAAGCAATAAAACTCTTGCTTCCACCCACTTGTTTCCTACCATCCCCCACCCCACTTATACTGCTACAGTAAGCAGTATTAGTTTCTCAGAATCCCAAGATCCAGAGAATAGAGACCATATGGAATGCTTTCTTTTGCACCCCTTCTTTATGGAAATATTTTCTTAATTAGAAGATTTAATAGAATTTTCTATCGTGAGATGATGGATTGTTATCTAATGATGACTGAATGCCCATATATGCCTAATCTATTGGAGTTGGACACAATACTTACCCAATAAACAGTTCTTAAATAAGTAAAATGATACGTTTGAACATATTATATTGTAAAAAATGTGTGCATGTTACATCACTAAATCATTTCCTTTCTTTCCCTTTTTTTTTCTTTTAAGATATGATCTGGTGCAAGCTGAGAGGTGTAGAAGAGATAATGGCATGCCAAAAAAGAACATGAATTAAAGTAGCAGAAATTATTTGAGTTGAAATGATACAGAGAAGATTAGGCGATTAGGATGGCCCCTGCACAAAGATGACATGCAGAAATCGAGAAATCATCCAAATTTTTACCAATAAAAAAAATAATAAATGAATGAAATGATATGATATGAAGGCTCACAAAATGGATATGGCCCTCGACAGAGAGGAACAGAGCCAACCCTATATGGTTGACATAAGGCTTTACTGAACTGAATTGAGTTTACTTGAATTCTTTCTATCTTGTCTCTGTTTTCTTTTTTCTTTTTTTCTTGTTCTTCTGGGTGGATGAGGGATGGGAGGTATTTACAGCCCAATGTGTCAATTAAGTAAAACAAATACTACAGTAAGCAGAGCAATTTATTAAAGCAATTCATAATGGCTTAAATGAATAATAAAAATATAAATAAATAAATAAATAGATTAGATTGCTTGAAGATGACATGCCATGTATAAATAGTCTTAATTGTCTTAAGAAATGCAAGTATTAGCTCTTTTCTTTCCCCAACTCTTGGGATAAGGGTTTTGCACTCTCTTCCTATTATAAATTTAGAATTTATCTGATGGATTAACTTCATCAATTACTCACCAAATATATATATATATATATATACAAGAAAATAATGAATTAGGGAAAACTAAATGTAGTCAATAATCTATGTCCAGTACTGTCATACTCCATACATACAGGCTACCAAGAGTTTTCAGAACTCCAATTTTAGGTGACAGGTATCCAGAAAATCCCATGGATGGTAATGTTCTGCAAACAAATATAAATACAACAAATCAGAATAAATCAAGCCAAAAACCTTCATATTAAAAATAGCCACTCAATAAAATGTTTTGTTAGATACATGAACCTTGTAAAATATAACAAAATGAGATGACATGCCAATTAACAATCAAAACAAATGGGAAAGATAGATGAAGCAACTCACTTACACAAAACATCAGACATAACTTACACAGAAATGACATTATTATTAGAGTCACAGTTAACATTGGACCAAGTGCATGGATTAACTTGGTTCTGGTTCCAGTCAATGAGTTGATCTGGAGTAGCATTTAATGAAGTTCTCAATGCATAAAGTGCATCTCCTGAAACGAAAGTTAGGAGCAGTCATCATCCAATTGAGCTACTAGTACTACTAGATAATCAACATACCATCAAGAAATGAAGATACAGTAGGCCCTCTAGTAACTAATAAGTACTAACCATGGTGGCAAGGCATTTTATTAGTTATTAAAGGTTATCAGTAATTAGTAACATATATAAAAGAAAATTGTTTTTCTACTTTTTTTAACAAACATAATGCTTCCATTTACAACTTATGTTTTAGGTATGCATGCGTAAGACTAAATTAAAATGGACTTTTTCAATCCTTAAAAACACTAAAATCTAGTCCAAATGGGCAATACAACAAATGTCACAGATAGGAAAAGAAAGACTAAACTTGAACTTTGAATAGGAATTCATTGAAATGATTGGAGTATGAGAAATAGAAAGAACTTTCTTACTCTTTCCTAATTTTTAAGAATGAAGACAAAGTTATAGGAAAAATGGATTGTATCTTTTACTTTTTCATCTTTTATGACCTCTATTTAGAGAATAGATTACAAAATAGTCTTTTACATAAAGATCAACTATAATGGTCTTTCACGAGGAATTTATTTGTATTTATTGTAAGATTCTAATGCATATATATAAGCATATAATGTTATATTAATAATATAAATTATATATAGATAAACTTATATAGAAAATACATTCTAATATATAATAATACACAGAAACATTTTATAAAAAATACTAGTTAGTAGATGTTTGAGAATATTAATTATAAACTGTGAAACAAAGTTGGTTTCTCCAAAATATTAGATCATAGGAGTAATTTATTTGTAACGTATTAATTACAAGGGGTGTGCATAGACAACCAATGACTGCACCAACAGGAATGAGTGAATTGCTGCAAGTAGAATGCTCCAAAAGAGAAAGGGGAAGGCCAAAGAAAAATGTTGCCTGAAGTGGTAAAAAAATGATTTAAGGACTTATAATTTGAGAGAAAGTGTGCCTCATGATAGAGCAAAATGGTGGGACAGGGTTTGTGTCACTTACAACAAAGATTTTGATTAAGGCTGAGTTGAGTAACTATAAGGGAGTCTACTATACTCAGGATAAGAAGATGGAAGAAGAAAATACATAAAACAAATGAAAGAAATCTTATCTAAACATACCTACTTAACTGTCAATCTCTCAGAAATCAGAATTAACCATTCTTTCTTACTTTTCCACATTAAGAGAGATAAATATGTATATATAAAATAGAAAAAGTATCACATCTAATTTTAAATATGGTTTCAATTTTACCCTTCTTTTATTTACAACCACTTTCTCTTCTTTACAATAAAAATGCAATCTCTTACCTTGTGAATCAGATGCCACAAAAGAATACAGAGAAGCCAACAACACAACTACAAAAGCCAATTCCATCTTCATTGACATCATTCCCAGAAGTTGATGCAATGGACTAGTTGAGTTCTAATATATTCTTGAACGAGAGTCCTCTCTGCAAAGAGTTGTGAACCTCACGCATCAGGGACATGTAAATACAAGATATCCATGAGAAGAAAGAACTTTAAAACACCTATCAAGACCTTCATTTAGCATCACAGTTTTTACTTCTGAAAGAATTGCTAAAATTTCCAGTTTCAAGGTCCATAAAAATATTATGTATAGGGAACTAAGTTCCACAAACTTTGGTACCAAATATAAAGAAAACAAGAGACAGAATAAAAGGAAGGGAAAGAGGAGAAAGGGGAAGATGGGAAAGAAGAATGAAAGAATGGGGGTAAAACAGAGGAAAAAATAGGAAGGAAAGAAATAGTGCCTCGAGTGCAGATACCTTCCTATTTAATTGCTTCTTAAACTTCAACCAGAAGATCAAAATGGAACTAGATAGAAACTTAATATAGAATCACATTTTCAAAACTCCACTGGCATGCCTCCAAGTTCACTTCTTTAGCGGCAAGGGGAAGAACCAATAAATGGAATCTAGCATCTATTGCTCTTTTTTCTTAATACCACAGCAGTTTGTGAAACATCTCGTAGCCTAAAGGTTGAGTGACTGAACCTCCTCAAATTATGTATGTGTGATTACTGAATGGACCCGTCTTGGTAACATTTAGTGTTTTTTTTTATGGTATATTTTGACTTCACTAATTCTGTAATATTAAGCCTTTGTGGCTTCAATTGCATTCATGTCAGTTTCCATTCGTTCCTCTATACATATCTTTTCTAGATTCATGTACTGAAGTTTAAAGTTTGACAGTAAGTTTTGGTTTTTGATTACCTCCACCACCACCAATGTTGGAGAAGGAAAACAAAAAATAAAGAAGGAAAGGAGGAAAAAAACAACAAAATGAATCTATTCCCCAACCTCCCATAACCGACGATACTACTGGAGTACATAAGTAAAGGCATTTGTGCTAAGTAATTCCATAGCTCCCCGTCAAGCAGAGACAGCAAAAACTACCCAAACAAGAGAACTAACAAAATAAATTCATCTTTTTCTCAGCATAGTTCTATGAATGAAAAGATATGAGAACATCTAACACCTGCATAAAACACAGTAATCTTACAGAAATCTAATATAGCAAATCAAGCCAAAAATTAAACTAAAGAACTGTACCAATTCCAATGTTCAAAAGACCAAGATCAGAATCAAATGAAAAACAGGAAGAGTGGCAAAAGAAACTAGAAAAGCGAACCAGAGAGAAGAAGAATTACGAAAAAGTAGGCAGAAAAAGAAAAAGGGAAAAATAAGACGCTACCTTCCGAGTCAGATCGGATTATCCTGCGAAAGTTGGAAAGCTTTTTATAGTGCAAAGAGTTGGAATCTCTGGACAACTAATACCTGTATGAAGCAAAGTTACAGAGAGCGAAATAGAGCTAGCTATAGGGAGACCTCCCAGATGTTTACTCGAAAAGCACTTACCGCAAAAGTGCCAATCGTGTTCGTATGTAAGGCTGTATCATATTCATATGCACTTTTCTGTTTTTCCATTTTATTTTCCTATTTTCGCTGGATAATATAATTTAAGATTTCAAGCTTTATTCAGCTTTTTTTTTTTCTTTGTTTGCAGACAAACTGGTCAAGCTTCAGCTATGATTTATTACAGTCGAGCAAGCAGGCTAATGGCGGCGATCCACGTTTTCACGGTTGAGGCATTTGGTGCCCTTTCCACTGAATTCACCTCCAAACCGAACAGCTCAGCAATCCCTCTCAAACATCCAATAGAAAATTTACATATAATCGCGCCCCACTGGCGCCCTACATGTGCATCTCAGCGTGCGTTGGTAATATCTCCCATAGTTGTCACCGGGAGATATTATCAATAGATGTGCTGTTGGGCGCGTGTGGGGCGCCGGTACGAATTCGCCAGTAAACGGGGGACCAGAACCCGAAGAAGAGTCAAAGCACAGCTTAAATGCTCTTCTTTGACTCTTTAATTGCCAAAATACCATCATAGCCCATAGGCCTCAGCCTCAACCGTCAATAGACAAATTCTTCGGATCAATAGGTTCGGATGTTCCATTCCTATTGACCCGAAATGAGCCGGTAGGGATAGTCGGGTCCCGGATCCATCTCACCACCCACCCTGGTGAAATGGTTTGGTGACCCGAGATCACAGCAGACAAATTTTCCAGATCCACTCACTCAGTGTGACATGCCCATGGTATGATGGTCATTGGATTTTCGGGTTGTGTGGTAAGAGGAATTCATTCCTAAAAATCAATAACTCGTCTAACCAATAACCAATCGAAGGCTGACTGGTTGATGATGCGTTAGCTGATTAGCTGCTTTGTTCAAATCCCACAACCAGTAATTTGGAAAAAAAAGATCAGGGAAAGTTATTAATCGTGCATATCATCGAATGCCAAAAAAAACTCATTTTAATTTATTCAATAATCACCGATCTTGAATTTCTAACGTGAGAAATTGTTGATTTCCCAGAAAAAAAACTGGTAAAATAATGCTGATATGGTCTTTCCCAATCAAAAGAATTGAAGTTTCTGCGCATTAGTTACATGAACACATTAGATACCACTCCTCCACTCAACGTATTAATCCGCACATCATCAATAAATCCCGTCCCAATCAAAAGAAACACAATTCATGTGATTTGAACAGACAGTTCATTCAAAAAAGATTTGAATATCGGAATGTGCTGGGAGGGATTTTTTGTCGCAGTTGATCCAAACTCTCTTTCAAGCGGACAAAATATGAAGCTGAAGATTAATAATTTAACACAAGTTTTTTTATTTTTCACTTAAAATATTGCAATAATCATTTTAATCATAAAAATCTATGTTAAAAAGGGTATTTTTGTTCCATTCATGTGTTACCAATTTTCCCCCTAAAGGTGAAAAAGTTATTTGACATGATACTTAGAAAAATAAACTTTTCCTGATTTTCCATAAATATAGAAAAAGAACATTAACTTTTTGGTCAATAGGAATCAAAATTCCATTGACCAACTTTCCCCCCTTTCAAAATCCAAAAGAAAAACTCTCCCAAAGATAGTTTTTTTTTTGCTAAATAACTTTAATAAATCGAGTTGGGATCTCCTTCCAACAAAAACCGTCCTAACATGATCCTATATGCATATCTCATCATAAAACTTGAACCCATCATGTATGAGATGTGCAGATACCGATCATGTTGGAACGTGTTAAACTTTTTTTTTTTTTTGAGAGGAGATAAGGGTCTTGAAAGAGAAAACTGGATTCAGTCATTGCAGAACCCGTTTGAACAGCAATTATAGCCTTGCATTGGAAATATCTTCCCATTAAATAAAGCACAGAAGTATGGAAATGTTCCCAATGCAAGGCTGTATAGGCTGTTGGAACGGGCCTTGCACTGACTGAAGCCGATTTCCTTGAAAGATGAGAAGTGAAATCTTTGGTAGGTGTTAGTAATTCAATTGAGACCGGATTTACTTCTCACACTTAACACCTCACACGCACATCCTACCGTGCATTGGAAATATTTCCCATACTTGTATGCTATTATTTAGAAAAAATATTCTTAATACACGGTGGGATGTGCCTGTGAAACGCCCTGTGTGGGGACCAGATCCCACCTCAATTCAGTTTCTTCTTTATCCTTACCTCAATTCAGTACACAAGTCAAAATCTGTGGAAGGGCAGGTTTTCGGCATCCTGAATGTTTTGGGAATGCTAATGGGCCGATGCACCTATTCTTATCACCACTACTAACCCACTAAGTGGGTCTAGACTATAACACCTCACCCTTATTATAAGGGCTAAAGACACATTAAAAAAAGGGTTAAACTATGATAGTTGAAAATGTTATAATCAATTAATGGGTATCATAAAATGGTAATAAACCAGGTGGTATTATCAAAACTCTTATAGAGGTTTTAGGGTTTCAGAGTTTATGTGAATCTTTCCACCCCACACCCCGGCAGTAAAGGCTTTATAGGGGGTTTCTCATAGAGGCGTTTATTGGTCAAAGTTGTTTCCACATGATGCATTTTTCTCGACAGCACGTATTTTATCAGATGTATGGTGTGAGATCAATTAATAGGGGGTTGGTGCGTGTTTTATTAGCAGGTGATCTAGACTCTCGTCGACATCTAACAACTAAAGGCCATTTGATTGTAGCGGAATTTGCAGTAGTATTATATTGATTGGGTTGTCAGCTTGTCTTTTAGCGATGGGGTCATTTAAGCAGGAGGTGAGTTCATGAGTTCCTTAGACCTTAGTAACTGGATGGTATTATGGCATGTAGGGGTGTTTCAGCCATTAAAAAACTTGTATCTGACTTCTTCATCAAAAGTTCAAAAGACAAAACCAACAAACCCTTCAAACGTCCCCCTGACCCTCACCCACACTCTTGTTTTAATATTTTGTGTTGAACTTGAAACGAACGAAAGATAACAATAATAGACTCATCCTGGCTAATCCAGTGCCAACAGCAAACCGACACAACCAATCCCATGATATCAGCTAGCCATCCATCAACTATCAATAAACAATGTTTGAGATGAAATTTGGTCTATCTTGTCTGGGCCATTTGGTTCAACTGTTACAATTAGTCGTATTACTCATTGAAACCTCCTTCTAAGTTTGTCATTTTCCCTGAATTTTATACAAGTACATATCCTTTGTTAAAATTCTTTAACAAGAGGTATAAAAATGTCTTAAATACCCATGCAATTATTATTGAGTCTGGTTTATACACTAAAAACAATATAAATTTTATGAATGACAAAAAAAAAATAGAAGAGAATTTGAAGTTGTAGTTTTAACTTTGAGCAATTTATGATTATGAAAGAAAATTTTGAAAAATAACTTAATTTCGGAAAAGAGATTGAAAGGGCTTGGGTAGTGATTGATATGAAGAGAAAATATGAAAAATAAACATTTTGGTCAAAAGTAATAACATGGTTATTTTGGACATCTTTGTGCCTCTTGTTAGAATCAATGGGGTCTACTTGCAATTGCATCAAAAAGTTCAGGGGAGGTGATTGCAATTACCAAACTTTAGGGAAGGTTTTAGCAACGATATTAAACTTTAGAGGAAGTTTTAGCAATTTATCCTCTCTCTCTCTCTAAGGTGTAAATGGTATCCGACTATCCAATTTTAAATTCGATACCCGATGTAATTGAGTCGAATTCGAATGGTTCGATAAACTTAGCAATCAAATTTGAATTTGTATATCATACCAATTAGTTTATTGAATTTGAAGTCATGTTGATCCAATTCAATTAAAATTCGAATTCGATTATTATATAAATTTAACATACATTAATAATAAATGTAATATAATATATATTAATTTCTGCCAAAAAGTGAAAATTTTGCCAAAAAGATTGCAATGATGTCTTGTCGTATATAGTTCTCTTGTTCAATGTCTTGTTGTAGATGTTTCATATTTCTTGTTAGTTTTATTTTTAAAAGATACAAAGCATGAAATTAACAAAATTAATGTCGCATGGTGCTTCTTCCTCTTCTGTCAATGCATTTAGTTACGTTAGGGTTTTTAAGGAAAGTGAAAGTAATTGATCGAATTCGAATCAAATTAAATATTCAATATTTTAATCGATTTTGAATTCGATTAATAATTTTGAATAACTAACACGTATTTAATCAAATTCGAATTAACTTGTAATCAAATTCAAATTCAAATATAAACTAATTCGACTAATTCCATTCGAATTCACTCCATTTCCAGGCCTATTCTCTCTCTCTCTAGATAAACTAGTTACAAGCATAAATTTAGTATTAGACTATTAGTATGCAGCTCCACTTTGACAAGTGTGAATAGGTTTACATTTTGGTATTAACATAACATGCGGTGGGCATTATTGATTAGAGATAAAAGAATCCAGGGGTGTTAGGTGTATAAACACTAAACAACATATTAGGTATGGGATATAGGTTAATAGCCCTCATTAGTGGTCATCTATGAGGGGCCCCACCACTAACACGCGGAGCTACTTTAATTATTTAAATTCAAATTTTCATGTCGAGTCTAGTGAAATTTTTCTTCTTTACGGTCCCTAAGCTTGTGTTTGGTTTGAAAAAAAAAATATAGGTTTTTTGTATTTTCCTACCTTTTCTTTCAAATCAAATACAACCTAAGTAAGAGTGCAAATTTTTTGGGTTAGGATTGGGATTTTGTCAAAATTTCAATAGGCCCAACTCGAAAACCGAATCCGAAACAGTGTAAACTGTTAATTCGAGCCAATCCGACTTGCACCCCTAAACCTAAGTGTCTCAGGTTGGATTTAGATTTGATCTAAGTTTTCATGATTTTTAAAATAAAAAAATAGAGTTAATCACATTTTAACTTATAAAAAATAAATTTATATAATATAAAATATAAATTTATTTTATATATTATATACAATTATCCATGTACATGTGTATATATAGTTCAAACAAGATTGGATGTTAAGTGTATATCTAATTTAATTATTTTTAAAAATAAAACTTGGTTCTTCATTAATCTTAACAAATAATCTCAGAGGATACRATATCTCGTAAAAAGTCAAGACATGACAACCAAGTTTTGGTCGTGTTACAATGAATAGCCATTTGGGCTACTCTGTGTGTAGCCATGTTTGCTTGTTGTCCAATGTGAGAAATTGAGAATGAA